AAGCTTTTATAAAAATATCAATATCACTATATAAAAACAAGCAACAATCACTTATGGGTCACAAGGGATCCTTAACATATGTTCGAAAATCTCCTATAAACACAAAACCAGTATGCAAATGAGTGTAGTAACTAGTAACTTGCCAACCAACATGCATGGAGAGATTGGTGATGAATGTAACTCAACCAATAGTCAACATCCACTTACAAATGGACATTGATTTTCCCTGCGAGCAATGATAACCTGATGAGTTCTTTATAAATATAGGAGTGCACATTACATGCTACAGGCAAGGTTAAGAAATCTGTGATGAGTGCAAGCACCTATGAACAACATTGGAGAACTTGCAGTGCATGAGTAATTGTCTGCAAGAAGTAACAAGTGACCCGTAATGCAGTGCTACAATTCACCTGCAAGCATAAGCATAAAATTTGTAGTAAAAACTACGGATCACTGATAGAAAGCTCTTGATGCATCGTACAACATATTTGCAGGCTGAAGTATACTCCTGCATTCTGAATATTTTAAGAAAATAATAGCTTGCAGAAGATGAAATAAGACCCAACATGCTGTTAAATTATGCCACCGGATCCGGAACATTCATACAAGCGGGCATAAGGCATTTACAGATCCCTATATGGAAACTTGCAAATTTTCCAATGATAATCACTTACGCAATTGATCATATTTAAATGTCCCCTCATGCATTAAAATATGATTAGCCGCATGGCCCCAATGAGCGTGATGTATGTACACATATGATGTCTAGGGCTATTGCATGGATCAAAAGTGAACCTAAGTTCAAGTCCGATCCTCCTCTTTGAATGGATCGGAGTTGACATGACTTGAACTACTGAACAAATATACAGTCGTCGTGCCGATCGGAGTCTTTGGTTTTATACGTTTATATTAGGCCTTTAAGATCTATTAAAATAAAGTTTCACTACTTAAAGCATAAAACCGACATCGAACTTGATCTTTTGTTAGCAGGAGAACATAATTGACATAGTTCATATAACAAATATACAAGTTATTTAAATCTCCAATGATGATCGTATTGACAGAAAATCTCAATCAAATGGGACCCCAAACTTTTAAAATGCCTCCCATACTCATAAAATATAAACATTTAAAGTGACAATAAAATTACCCCGATGATAGCCGTGTTGAATATAAATTTCAACTGACAGGGTTAACTCTCAAAGACAAATTCAAAACTCTATATTTATCAATGATATTAATATATTTAAAATTAAAATTAATCATCAAACACTTAAAGCACAATACCATCCACCCTCTACAACAGTTTGCCTAGGTGAATAAGTTTAAAAATCATGTTAGCTCACAAAGAGCAAATGTCTAGTTGAGAATATCACTGGAATTCAATCTCAAATCATCTCTTGCTAATAAGGACATGGTACGTGTCGTCTAACAGGTGGTTTCATCACAAAATGACACCAAAGATAAATGGTTATGGGTGGCTTCGCCACTAAATGACACCACTAAATTACGCTCATGGTCAGAGCCCGTATGTTCCCCAACGGCTCTAAATCATTGAGTAATGAATCAATAGAATATGAATGATACGGCATAAAGCCCCCTATTAGCTAAGGTGGGCTCAAATCTATCCTCTTAGACAAATATCCACCCCAAATCTACATGATATCCTTGGACGACGCAACTCATGGCTTCCAACAAGGATCATTCGATTAGGATAAGTCGACTACTTCCTCTGACTAAATTGACTAGGGACCATGATGGCTCGGGATGACGGAACCAAGAAATCTTGACCGGGTCTATCATCATTCCCCCACCATTCACTTTAAGTGCAAGATGGTGAATTTCTAATTTTAAATGTTAAATTTTAAATATCTAAATATGTTGCTACTATACGTCAGATATTCTATATCTCTTTGACGACTAGCCTTAATAGAAACTTCTCTCTCACTATCGGGAGGGGTAATTAACTATAGGGACTTGGACCTATAGAAAACCTAAACTCAGATCATAAAGTCCTCGCAAAATGAGGGCAAAATCTTTGGGTAATATCTTATCTAAAACTCAATCCGCATTATGAAAATTTATATAAGAACCTACTTATTAAAACTCTCCTCAATGACCCGAAAGTAAGAGAAAGGGGATGCAGAGAGGCCATGGCACAAATTTTCGGAGCCTACAAGATAATACTAAGACCAGAGAAATTCTTTATATGGAAAACCCAAAAGGGAAAAATCACAGGATCTAACCCAGTTGCAAAATTTTATTAGATAGTAAATAATTCAAAGATCTTCCTTTCTTCACTGTTGAAGAAGAATAAAAGTATAGAAAATCCAATATGATAGTTAATACCCAACAATAGGGTATGATTTAACCAATAGGAATTATAAATGTCTACAGACGAACTTTTACCCAATAATTGAGTTTGACTTTCCCAATAAGAATTATATATGTCCACATATGAACTTTTATATCCAACGGTAGGGTTAAATATTGTTAATAATCTAAAGATGGTAGAGATATCTGATGTTAGTTCTCGATGATGATCGTGATTGTCAGTGACAATTGCTGGTGTTGGTCATTAGCAATGATGGTTGGAAAATACAAGAAAGTTATTTCTAGTTCTCTCTTTCTTTTCTCCCCCCTCACTCATGTGAGAAATGAGGGCCTATTTATAGATTTTTTGGAGTGACATGCTCCATAAATAAAGAGAATACCGAGGAAAAATTTGGAGCGCTTCATCAAATGATCCGTATTTATTCCTTCGAAGCTTTTGTCAAGCATTGAAATGTCTTAATGATGTCATGATTAAGTGATATTGGACTTATTATATTCGTCTTGTCGAGCCGCTCGATTCGATTATAAGCGTGTCATATTTAGAGATTATTTGGTTACCCAATTAATGGTTTGAAGCTTTCAAATATGCTTCAGTCCCATGTTTTGAGTCTATTTGGACTTCAGATTAGGTCAATTTTGGTGTCATTGAGTTCGTCTTATAGAGAAAATCAGTTTGACTTCAAGGTTGCTGAGATTGGAGTTTGAATGGTCCCAAATTTAATTTTAAAAGTTTTCAATTCAAATATGCCTTGAGATTAGTGCTTGATCAAGGCAATTTTCGGTAACCTATCAATTCTAATATTTAATAATGATATTAATGAATAATAAATAAGCTTTATAATTAAATAATTAAAATAAAAATATCACTAATAGATCTGTACTTTACCTTAGCCTAAAGGTAAATTTCTTTTTCTTCCCAAACATAAATTTAAACCTTAAGATTGTTGCTGAAATTTTTTTAGGTTTCTCTAAGTAGAATATGAAGGAGAAGAAGAAAAGGAAGAGGAAACCTAAAATTTATATTGATATCAAGGTTTAAAAACTTGAATGAGAAGAAAGTATTTTGAGGTAGAAATAATATTTTGAGGTTATTTGATAAAGAAGTGTGTTGTCAAGTTATAAATTGATTTTATTTAAGGAATTTTTATTAGATTGTATATAGAAGATCAAAGTTTTGGGTCAAGTGAGATGTGATCTATTCCAAAGAGAAACCAATAATTTTAGTGAGATTCTTAACTTCTAATATAAGGGATAAATTATTCATAAATCTTTATTGTAGATTCTTGCAATTACATTTAATTATTTGGTTGAATAGAGTATTTTTCATATTGAGCACGCTAATTGCACCAGGTATGATAAAGAAGTCTACTACATTTTCTATTAAAGAAAAGTTTAAATTTTTTTTACAAAAATTATAATACCTAAAATAATTATTTATTAAATATTTTAATTAAAAATGACCAAATTACCCTCATACGTAACACCATCAACTCTACCAGTAAATGATAGGACCAAAATATTTTTATTTGGAGGAGTTGAGGGACCAAATTAATCTCTTAAAAGAGTTGGGAATCATTTTGGCCATTTCCTCGATATAAATCAAAGACTTCTGGTAATTGTGAATTTATATATATTTAAAGTTATTTAAAGTTTGATGATTTTATTTATGCACGCTTCCATATCAATACTTATATTGGATCTATTAGATGATTGTAAAGTGTCATGTAGATTTTTGTGATGATCAAGTTAGATAAATTTTGACGCATTCCATCCAGAGTAGTAAAGTCAAGATAATTGTTAGTGAGAAATATAACTGACTAGATTGATCGCTTCTGGAGGGATTTAAAATAGGGTGTGATACTTGCTTAGGAATGTTATGTGATATGAGAATATTATAAGGCTTAAAAATGAATTTTACAAAACTACAGTTAGAACGGCTATGCAATATGAATCAAGTAATGGATGATCAAAATATTAATAGTCAAGTTGAATGTGGTAGAAATTAAAGAAAAAAAAGATTGATGTGTTGTAAATCTAGAAATGATAGATTGAAAAATAACTATATTAGAAAGATTGTTGGACACATATCTATTGAAGATAAGATAACTGAAAATTAAATAAGATAGTTTGGCATGTACAATGTAGGGTAGAAGATGGACCGAGAAGGCCAAAAAGTAAAATTAATGTGAAAGAATAAGGAAGAAAAGAGAGAAACAAATGTAGCAAAGTTGTGAAAATTACTTTACCAACACTAAGGCCTCTTGCAGTAGAACACAAATTTGAATTAAGAAAGCGGAACCAACCCCAAGTAGTAGGAATAAGAATAATGTTGATGATAATGATCATGATTAGTCAATATGTATAGAGATTGTGAGTCTCCAAAAGAGAAAGATGACAAACAGATTTTAGAGGTAAGGCATCTAAACTGAAACAAATGTAGAAATGGATCATAAAAAATGAAAATGTAAAAGGAAAAATAAGATGTCAATCTAGCTAACATAATGTTTCTTACAGTGATAGACATGGGTTACTCTTTTTTGGAGCACTGGGCATGAAGCATGCTATGTCGCTATTCAATATGCTTAAAATGAGCAACAACCCACTTCCAATTCTAATTTGAACTGATAATGGTCAAGCTAAGGTAATTAAGAGATAATCCACCATACCTGGGCCGCATCAATACTGTCACGATGAAATAGACATATTTTGCCCAGAGCAGAAACAGCAGCATCATATGCCAATACAGTGTTTGAACTAAATACATCAGGATTCCTTATCACATTATTTAACCTGTAAAGAGCCTCTACAACCAAAATAAAAAAATACACCAAAGAACTTCGACAAATATTGCAGAAAAAAGAAACTTATGTCATTTGCTAACATACCACCAACAAAAGGACGAAAAACCAATCCGCCAAACTCAGCACAAACACCAATTCCATAAACAGCAGCCTATAATAATAGAGTAAAAGATAAAGAAGTGCTCTGTCAGAGGAAATTCATTGGAAGGGAAGAGGAAAGGCAGAGAATCTGAACCCGTCTAACACCCGCATCTCCATCATTGCAAGCTTCGATTAGAAAAGGAAGGTACGTATCATAATATCTGTATAATGATAAAAAAAATAGACATAAGGCCAATGAAAAATCTTCTTTTTATAATGGGCAAGTTAAAGCAGGGAGATTACTTAAGAGCTGATTCTTGGCACTGCTCTGCAACATCATCAAAAATACAAATAGCAATTCTTCTCTCCTTTGGAGTCTTATCCCTTCCCTACACAAAATGAATGAAACTTAATTTTACGAAGTTGAGAGAACTTGTCTATCTTCATTTTCAGCACTGAAAATAACAAACGAACCATTTTCACACAGAAGAAATTTAATTTCCAAATTTATCAATTTAACTACAAAAAACAATGCAAATCACAAATCATTATCACACCATGTTGTAATTCATTGACACTAAATGGAAAACATTCTCTCAATCAACATTTGATGGCATTTCGATTATGCTTTATCAGAAAGGACAGCATAAGATATTATATTCAATAACCTGCAACTCAAACCTTACTTTCTAAAACTACCAAGACTTCCCATTATTCTCCGAACATCTTTTATCTAAGCACAAACAAAAGCATTGCAGCTCCAACCAACTCCTGTATGCAAATAAACCTAAGTACAGATCCATTTGCAGATAACAAAAGCCCAGTATAAACAGAAAAAAATTGATTGAGGTGAAAGAATACTTGTGGAGGCAAGAAACTTGGGTGGTAGGAAGAGGACTTAGCGGTAGCATCAGCGATGTTGGGCTTCTCTGATGCAGCAGAGGGGGCTGAAGCAGAGGGCAAATTATTGGGTCAGGTGACCGAACGCAGAGATAGGTCCGGATATTAATAAAATATTATTTTAAAATTAGCGCAAGTAAAGCGCAGGTAAAGCGCAACTAAAGCGCAACTAAAGCGCAAGTCAAAAAGCGCAACTAAAGCGCAGGTAAAGCGCAACTAAAGCGCAACCAAAGCGCAACTAAAGCGCAAGGTGACGCGGCAAATTTTTATTGGATGTCCGAACTTATTTTTCGCCTCCGGTCACCTGACCCAATAATTTGCCGAAGCGGAGGGGGCTGAAGGAAAAACTTTAACCCTTCATCTAATCTGAGGTAGTGGTAACATTAATTTTGCACACATGTAGGTGTTGGATATGACATATTTTTGTAGGCATTCTAGGGTAGGGTGTAGCTAGGATAACTTTTTTCAATTTCTTTATTTTACATTTTGCATTTGTGAACACATGATGATGTGTTTCTGATTCGAATTATTTTTTTTCTATTTTGTGGATTGATGAGTTGGCACTTGCACTAAAGTGATTAAATTTTTATAGAGATATTTTCTATAGGTGACCACATTCCTAATGGGCTAATAAAAATGCTCAAATGATTATTAAAAATGTGCTTATAATAGATACTGAGAGGAGTGCTAAGCCCTTGGAATGTGGTCCTAAGAACTAGGTTTGGATTTAGATGTGTGATTATTATTATAATTGTGCTAATCTATTTTTTATAAAGAATTCATGTAAATTTTCAATTTTAAATGTAATTTTAGTTAGGAAAGTTTCGTAGGTATGTTGGTACTTCAGAAGGCAGGAGGCCAAATAGCTAGCATCGATCAAGGCCCCACACATCATTTCATTATTGTATAGATTTAAGCTTGAGGTAGTAGTTATGATAGAGCTCAGCAAACTTTTTTTTTTAATTTTTCTAGGATACATTACATAACTCAACTGCATTTATGGCTTCTTATTATGATTCATTTGTAGATGATTAGTGTGTTTACTATGATTGCGCATTAGAACTACATGCTTTTCCTAGGTTTCTTAGTTTATTTTCCTTGGGAGTGGCTTGGACGTAGTCCACGTTAGGCTCTCAGGATATTAAATTTTCTATAAATATAAAAATCTGCCTAATCAAGATAAAATAAACATAAGATTTAAAATCTTCATCATTGCGTAGCATAATACTATTCATGGTTCGGCATAAGGGCGAATTCTTTTTTTGTACCCCCCACAACTCCTACATATGCATGTGACCAGACTGCATGGGTTTGAAATGCTAGGTGGAGCTTAGCTGGTACCCCTTGTCAAGCAGGGTGGCAAATCTAGGTTGGGGTTGCTTAGATCCCTGGTGAGGTTTAGGTTATAAGTCCCTTTGGTGTCCTGCATTATTTAGGTCGTGGGCATTAATACTGAGTTTACAGTATGTCCTTTGTAGATCTAGGATCAAAGACTAGCGGTATGTGTATATCGCTGCATGCCTTAATGTTAAAATCACAAAAATTATTATTATTATCATTAATTAATTTAAATTAATAGCTAATTCATTATTTTAAATTATTTTTGGCTCACTATTTACTTAAATTATGTAATTAATAATTAATTAATTTAATATTTAATATTTAATATTTTTCAAAATTACAAAAATTACTTTTCTTGCTAAAATACTTTAAAATCAGAGAAGTATTTTAATCTAAATTAATTATTATTTTCTTACCTTAAATATTTTCCATTATTAATTAATTATCTAAATTATTTAATTAATAATTACTTAATTTCAAAATTCAATTATTTTCCAAAACTATGAAAATTATTTTTTGTACCAAATTATTTTAAAATTTCAAAAAATTGAACTTTTGATTTAATTTATTTTAATGATTATTTTCAAATATTAATTATTTTAAAACCCTTTTTAATTACCTTTAAACTTTGAAAAAATCATATATATTCCGTTTTAAATCGAATATTTACATATGATACCTCGTATTTTTCATAAAAATATGTATTTTAATTAAAAATATTTCAAACATTAAAACTTATTTTTCTGTTGTATTTATGTACTATTTAATTATTTGACTATTTAAATAATATTTAAATAATAATCTTAGTAATTATTTTGAAATTATAAACTATTCTCAAACATTTTCAAATCCTCGTTCGGGTGACCAGTGGGTCTCCCATTGGTGTGAACATTGAATTACTTTGAATCATATTATTTTGAACCTTATGTATTCGTGCGCTAGTAAGCATGGGTATTTTGAATTATTTTGAAATTACCTAAACGATTAAATTCATAAATTTTGGAGATTCACTCCTCGAAATTTTAAACATGAGTTCTACATGGATATCATTCATGGGAGAGGTGAATTAGTGGGTGGTTGAGTCCCAATCATTCGCTAATCTCACCAATAAGCGCGCTTATTTTTCTTTTTACCGTCTTTTGCATGTGTAGAACGCACGAGCATTTAGCCTAAGCTCTCCTAGATCCTAGGAAATGGTGTGTTTATTTATTTATGTACTCCCTGCATGTTACCTCAAGGGCTAGTCCAAAACTTGATTTTAAAACCTATTCAACGTAGCGACCCCTAAGAACAATAATTAAGGACCCATCTGGCGAACTAAAAAAAATTCTAGGAGCTAGGTAAATCCCTGATTTACATGAAAACTTCAACATTTAAACTTAGTGACGTCTTAAACCTCCCATAATTTTCTATAATTTTTTAAGGACCCTTTTTACCCCTTAATTAACAAACCCTAATTTACCAGTTAATTAGGTCCCGATAACTTCTAAAAATTCTAATAAATTTATTTCAACTCAGAAAATTATCCATAATACCTCAAATTGTTCAAAATTCAATCCTTAACCTTAGATAATTAGGGACCCTTAGGTTGACCTTAATCTAAACCCTAATTTAACTTTGATCAAAATTACCTTTTTGGCCCTGTTAATTTATTAAAAATTATAAAAAAAAATTTAAATTTTCTCCAAACACTTGGGATCATTTCCTTATGTCATTTCTGACCTTTGGGGGAGATTCCAATCAGTTTGCAGTTAATTTGGATTAAAACCATAAAATCACCCCTAATTAGACAATTTTTGATAACTCCATAATTGCCCGAATCTTCTAAAATTCATATCTTTGTCTAGAAAACACCAAATCCAGCAAACTCAAAGCCTAATTACTCCTTGTAAGCCCAAATATTTAACTAAAATGCTAGAACCCCCAAACCTAGCCCATTTCCCATAATAACCTTTTGGACCCCTCAACCTAACACGTAGGAGGATCCGGGACTTCCCAAAATTGGCTAATATAATTTAAACTTCAAATATCACTACCCTAAGCATTACAATAGATCAACAGACTAAAATTAATTAAAACTGATCCTAATTCATTAATATTTAAACTTCAATTAAAGTTCCTCTTTTTGGCCTTCAACAAACCTGAACTTTAAACAACTTGAACTTTAAACAACTTGAACTAACTATCTTACATATGACCTATCCAAAGCCACACAAGCCTATTACACACACATAGATGTGCTAGGACATCACTTATAGTTCTAAGATTAGGGCCGGTGTTTACTTTTTCTGCTTTCTTTTCCGCTTTTTGTGATGTGCTTTGTGTGTGGAATGGATGATTGATTGATGTGCTTTGAGCTGTTGTGCTGTGGCTGAGCTTTATTCTATTTTATGTGTATTTATAATGCTATGATGTGTGCGTTAGACTACCCATGGGCTAGGGCCGCTTTGATACTAATACAGTCTTTTGCAGGTGGCCACGCTCATGCAGCACTAAAATAAAGGGGGCGGTAATGATTTAAAGCTTTAATACTAATTCTGTTTTCTACAGACACTCTAGAAATTGCTAAAGCTCCCTCCCTAAATTTAAAGAGGGTGGTCAAGCGTGTTTACCTTTCTGCATAATTATAAACTGCTTGTGATGTGACATATAAACTGCTTAGAATGATTTTTATTAGGATAAACATGCATGTATTTGAGTCTAGACTTTTCTCTTTTAAATGTAATGTAATTTGATATTTATTAAGTTGTGAAAGTCTTCAAAAGTCCGGCATTTCAAACACTTGATACCCAAAGAGAATAAGAAATGGCCCCTCTCAGGAATTTTGTAGTCATTTGGGTACCCTTCTGGAGGACAAACCAGACGGAGCCTGAAGGAGACGATCTGAATGGAGATGATCCGAAGAAGGACGATCCACTTGAAGATGGAGCCTTGAAGATGAAAAGCCCGGCTTTTAAGACTTGTGGTATTTATTAGGATTAGAATCCAGACTGTTGTCGATGGAGCCTGCTCACCACTACTTTTCTACAGACCCTGGGTTGCATTTGTGGCACTTGCCATGGACTTTAAACTTTAATTTTTGTGGATTATTTATATGTGGGCTCCGAAAATTCGGCCCCGGCCTCCGCTCGCTCTTCTTATTCGGCGA